TTAGATTTTTTATATTTTAAAATGAGATGTTTATTCTTTATTCAATTATGTTTATCCGCAGTTAGTTACACGGATTCAAACATGGAGCTTTAATAAGTTTTACTTATACATAATTTATTTGTAATCTTGAATTTTAAGTAATATGTATCAATATACATTACTTCATACGTAAAAAATGATTTTTAAGAGCTTTTGTCAAATACTTTATAATCTAGTCCAAATACTTGAATTAAATTTACCAACTAAATTTTATTTTACCTTAATAATTGTATATATAACATTTATATACGGTAAATAAAACAAATAAAATCACACACTTTTTTCACATCTGATGAAATTTGACTGTTTGACCTCTTACGAGAACAAAGACTCACATATTGTGATAACCTACTAATTTTTTAAGTATAATATATATTAAAAATATTAAATATAGCTCAATAATACATAAATAGTCTTTCAATCTTTTGTTTTTTTAAGCGAATAAAAAGAGATTTCTTTTTAAAAGCTATTAATTTCTGTTATTTTTTAAATGAATAAAAAACTTATTACTGTGCAAATACAACTACTTAAAATTTAATTTTGAACTACAAACCGATAGACAACTAATAAACATGTTCAAATACACAATAAACGTTAAGTTGTACTGATATAACATATATTTCATGAAAGTGATAATAATATCTCCCAAAAGTCAAAGCATCACACCATAAAAATAAAAACGAAAATAAACAGTCTAAAAGAATAAAACAAGATAAACACAAATCCCTTTTTTGGCTCATTATTGCAAATATCGTAACGGTTTGATTTTTTTTGGTTTGATTTTTGAAAAATAAAATTATAATACAACTCAGATATTTACTACTGATATTTAGAATTTTTGTTTTTATTCATTGAACGAAACTAAAAGTGAACAAAACATGACCAATTTAACATCTAGACATGTCGTTCGTCCAACGCGTCTCATTTTTAACCTGGACAAAAAGTTGATTACCATCAACCCTAACTGGTTCAACAAAGAACCCGCCTCAAGTACACCAATATTTAAGGAACATTTATTGACTCACTCACTGACTGAATGAATGATATGGAAAGCCCATGATTTATCTTGTATTTACAAAAACTCGTTCCACCCCTTTACCAGTTAAACTACATATAAGACGTGTTTCTCGTTTTTAATATCACAATTAATATGAAAATATCTTTTGAATGCATTGCATTACATGATGTGCAGCCATACCATCATCATCATCATCATCATCATTTATGCACATCACCATCATTATCTTATTTTATTTGAAATCCCACAGCCATTTAAAATTTGTTTTTTTGCAATAAGCAGCCCCTTATGGACTTATGATGGTAAGAGGTCAAAGCCTTGACCAAAATGACAAATATGTTACATTCAATATATTCTTTAAATTTTACTCAAAATTTGTTATGACGAAAAGTTCTGGAAATTTTATTAAATTAAAACGTCTGTGTAAATTCTTTGAAATTCCTATTTTTTCCTTCTTGAGGATTGGATATACTCGTAAACAGTTTTGTTATACTGTGATTATTTATATATCTGTAAGAACATTTCCATAGCTATACTAAAATTAGAGTTTTTTCACTCCAACAGTATGCTAAAAGAGAGAAAATAATCGAAAATTTTAAGCTTAATACTGAGAGAAGATATATTTATATTATATTATAAAGCATTTGACAAAAACTCTTAAAAACCATATTTTATACATGAGGTATTGTTTATTGATGCATATTACTTAAAATTCAAGATTACAAGTAAATTGTGCATAAGTACAATTTATTAAGCTTTATATTTGAATTCGTGTAATTAACTGTAGATAAATATGATCAAATACAAGATAAAATTTTCATTTAAAATATATCTAAAATATAAATAGGATAATTATTGAGTTCTAACAGAATATTCAATTATTATCTCTATGAAAATTATATTATTAAAGCAAAACAAATTACTTCGTCATCAAACGTAAATTAAATTATAATAAAAATTTTGAATTAAAGAAATTACTCAAAAAATGATAACTGTTATGTATTTTTTTTTTTAATTTTTATGTTATCTTCAAATTTACATTTAAAAAAACATTATTGTTTGCTCAAAACGTTATAAATTCGTATTATAATATCAACAGAGACCAAAAAATAAAATAAAACATTAAAATCGAGATATGTCTCGTTGCATTGCACGAGTACTTTTATAGTATTATTTTTAATTGTTTCCACCAATGTAGTTTAAAATATTATGAGTTTCTGTAAATTTTATTTAAAAGAGTATTGGCATGAAGAATTCATATAATTGTAACCATGCATCAACTTGATGGCAATCATAATAAGGAAAAACCCATAAAGGTCTAAATACAGTAATTTCGAGTTACCTACAAAAAAGATGGTCGTTTTGAAATTAGTCAGCTCACATAATACATTAGATATCCAGATTAATAAAAAAAATTATAAATAATGTTAAGAATAAATTATACTATATCTATATGTCTCGTCACACGGCTCATATTTTCGTATTAAATAATATTGTTACAAAAAAAAATAACAAATTTAATGATGGACGCGAATATTTTTTTGATAAATAGTAAATAAAAGAAAGATACTAACAAAAAATCGTTTTGATAATTATATTATGGTTAAAAAATTTATG